TATATAAGCAATTTATATTAGTATATACATATATAGTTTACAAGAAAGTGTCTTAGATAAAAAAACAAATAGCCTATATATATATNCCGGGACCACCTCAACCCGGCCCGCCTCAGGCCCAGGCCCGTTTAGGCCCGGGCCCGGACCATAATACAGCCTTAGTGTGAGAGGCAAATTGAAAATGCAAAAAAATAAAAAAATATTATATAGTATGTTATATAATGTAACGGTACTCTTACAATTAGATCCTTTTAGAATTTTTTGAAATTTTTATTGACAACTGATATTACTTCAATTTAATAATTGAATTAATTTTTTTTTAACTCTTTGCGTACAATGGTATACCCTGTTGGTATAACTATATACTATACTGGTATCAAATGTTAGTTAATATTTTTTTGATTGTATTAACTACATTTAATTGGTACACAATTTGATTTTTCTTTAGTGATAATATAAAAAAAAGAATAATAAAAAATAGTAAAAATAATAAATGAAATTAGATTATGAAGGGAAAAAGAATATAAAAAAAAAGTTAAATGAAATTAGAATAGGAAAAAAGAAAAAAATAACAAGAAAACGAAAAAAAAGAAAAGGAGAAAAGAAAAAGAAAAGGAAAGAAATATAGAAATAAAAAAAAATTTGAGAATAAAGAGGAAATTCCTCACAAAATTTACAGAAATGTAATTAGCTTGTGGGTAAGTGGTTAGACAAGCAATAGTTTTGTTGTTACGGTTAACGGTGTCAAAACCACTTTTTGCCTTGGGAGTAGATCGAACCAAAGAAACAAAAGCTCATCTGAGTTCCAGTTGAAACTTGAAAGTTTATACCCAAATTAAAATGATCGCCGCAGAAAACAGCCCCACCACAACCGGCGCCACCGGGACAACCACCGTAGACGGCGGCGGAAACGACGGCCTTGTTCTTTCAACCACCGAGACCATACATTCGTTTCTTGCCGGAGCTTTGTCGGACGTCGAACTCTCCGATGACCTTAGAGAACTCGCATCCTCCCTATGCGATCATCCCACATTACCATACAAGCATCTGAGGTCGATTTGGATCTGTTCTAACTCATCAACACGACCCGATCTAATGGTCATGTTATTCGGATCCAATTTCGTGTTTTCCAGCCCAAAGCCTAGAGAGAAAAGCGAAGAACTCAAAGCTCGGTTGAGGAAACTGGAGGAAGCTTCGGAGAGAAAAGCGTATGATGAATTGGTGAAAGATATTACTCCTAAGAAAGTTGTCGATGAACCCTTTTCTTCTTACAAAGATCAAATGGGCTTTGGTAAGTTCTTTTTTTTTTTAGTGCTCTATTGGCCCATAAGAAATCTGTTAGCATTCATTTCTTAATCGAATGATATCCTTTTTCTAATGATAAGATATTTACAAAGTTTGGTTTGATTTTGAGTACACTATAAATAAATAAATAAATAATGGATAGTTTAGGGATTTCTTTTTTCTAGGAAAGTGAACATAATTTTGATTATTTGAAAGATAGAAATTACGGCAGTTAAAGTGAAAGTTGGACTGTTGGAGTAGATTTAGTTGGGGATATAAAAAATTGTCTCCTATTTCCTGTAGCTGATGTTTGTATTGCTAGAATAAGATGATGGCTCAAGAGCATTAGCATGGGTTAGTTGGATTTTGATTGAAGGTGTTATTGCTGATGCAATTCATCATTTTATGAGATGAATTTGGTTTAAGGCTCACTAATGTCTACACACAGGTGGTGAAACACCCCTTGAGTGGACAAGAAAGGAAGGATTTTTTGGTACAACCTTCAATTTCAGACCCAGGAGTCGACTTCCAATCAGTGTTGTCAAACAAGCCAGAAACTATATGAAAAACAGGCCAGAGTGTTTTGGGTCGCTTAGGCAGCGCTTCAGTTCAGATTGGTGCTGAGATATGCGAAGTGGGCATCACTGACTGACTGATGTTCTTATTATGGGAAATAGGCCTAATTGGCGGGTGTTTTTGAATTTAGCATTTCAAGTTCCTTGCTGTAAAACCAATATTGGAGTAGGCTTCTTTGATAACATGGGACTGCACATAGTGATGATTAGTTTATAGTATCCCAGTGCCCATTATAACCACCTGAGGTTGGAGGAAGGATAAATGGATCCATTGGTGTTAAATTAGCACTAGAGATGTTGGATGGAGAGGGAGTACAAAATGGAAAATCTTGAAACTAGGGATGAAATTGTTAGTTTCAACATGAAGATGATGCATCAAGTACCAAGAATTTGTAAATGAATTGCTCTTCTTTTTTGTTTTCTTTTTTTAAATGAGTTGCTAACTCTTGATTTCAAATTTAAAAGGAACTTCTTCTTCTCTTCTTTTTCTTTATTTTGCTTTTGTTTTTATGACAAGTCTTTGCCTAGTTTTGTTTTAGTCAATGCCTGCACCCATGCTTGCTGCATAGAGTATGATAACTTATGAATGTTTTTCTTTTCTGCTTTTGAAGTTTATATTTGTGAAAGATAAAACAAGAGAAAAGAAGAGAGATAACTGCTATTGAATTGATTGATGAATGCGAGGGCTTCCTATAAAGTGGATACATGAAATTGGATTGTTTTCCTAATTAACGGAAATAGTAATTGTGAAAAATTCATTAAGAATATTCTCTACAATATTTTGTACAATTATGACATATAGAATTAAATTTGGAGACATTCCAACATATAGTTGCATTAGTTCTCTTGACTTTCAATGCGGACTATCAATTTTATGGTGGTGAAGCAACTTGATTTTGTGAAGTGAAACTGGCATGCCGAGTCGAGTATCTGAAAAAAAGTTGTTCCTAAAGAAGCAGTTATTTCAACAATATCGTTGCCGAAATGTGATAAAAGAAAAATAAAATTGAGTTGGTACCATCATCAAGTAGATCTGAATGACGGCGGTGCTACTATGAATCGATGTAGCGTAATTGAGAATGAGGACATGCACGATGCCAACTTTACTTGATCATTTACAAAGACAAGCATGCTGCTAGCTTGACTGAATAATGGTAGCTGACAGTTGACGGTGTTGAAAACTTGAATGTGCAATAACATGACATTAACTGTGTGACTGATGACATGGTACTGATGGGACAAAAGTAGACCACTGACATGACGGGGCAAAATACTTGACAAATCATCTTTACTGATGAGTGATGACATAGTCATAAACAAAATGAATTTTTGACTTGTCAGGTAGGTAATGTAGACCAATAATATCAGCACTACGATAAAAATTAATAGTACATGTGACTCGTGAGCCAATGTACCAGTAGAGACTTGAGCTCTCTGGCTGAATGTGTGAGCGAGTGTGGAGAAATTTGAAAATGAGAGTTTAATATTGTGTATAACAAAACGAACCTTTATGATGTTAGAATTGGGTCGAATGATGGAGAATATCAAAGAAAAACATGACAAGAGATGTGGTATCACTGGATTGATCATCGGAAAGAAATAAGAATGATAAACTATAAAAGAACTTTGAATGACACCTCTGTGGTAGGCAAAAGCTACTTAGATCTCTTGCAAGATCGTAGAATCTTTGCTACCATGTGAAAAGAGAGAACATGAGAGAAAATTCTCATTGAATTGAGTGACAACATTGGAGCTTATGATGTAGAAAATTTTAAAATAGAAAACTTCCCTGATTATTGGGATTCCTTATTTTGGAACAATTTTTGGGATCATTTGATGTAATATATTTTCACATTTAACCTGTACATATAGAATAAAGTAGACACATTCTAGCATAACTGCTTCGGTTCTCAACTTTTAACAATGATTTCACATTTTTCTGAGAAAAGGTAAGTTTTATAATTTTAACACAAAATGTGCTTCAATACTAATAAAGATAATCCAGTCTCCATATCTTTATCTATCCAATACAGCGGGGATTCTAATGTATCTAACAAAGATTTTACTTCAGTAACAAATTCTTCTTTCCATTAAAAAGAAAGACAAAAATATACAGTTGTTGGAGCTGTTTTTTTTTTTTTAAAAACATCTAGCATTCGTTCTCCAAATGGTCCATCAGATTGTAGCTGATATGGTACACCATCATCTCTTGTACGCCATCATCTCTTGTACGCCATCATCTCTTTTGCAACTATTACAGAAAGCATGCTACTTCCAACGGTGCTTTTGTTCTCCATATGTTCCTCCATGGCCAGGTGTTAGGTCTGCCTTCACCAACAGTCAAAAACTAATAGTAAGAGCTTACAGTAAATGAACTTGAGCTATGCATCTTCCAAAATTCCTTTCATCATTGCTGGACAAGGTTTGAAAAGGCTCCAATTATCTAATAAAATCTGTCGTCCTGTTTATCTCCCTGTTCCGCTCATTCTGGATTCTGCAATTGTTGATTTCACATTCCTCCTTAATGAATGTAGTACTTGCGGACTTGACCTATTGTTTTTTCAGCTGATTATTAGATAGAATAGAGGCTTTGGAGAAAAAGTCCTCCTAAAAAATGTGATGTGTCCTTTTTAGAACTTGGCCTCTTGCTTGTGTTAATCTGTGTGTCCGCATGCGCGTTTTGTTGCGAAAGCCAGTGCATATTCTGTTTCCTCATCTTGCTACTTTATTGAGTACTGCGGCAATTCTTGGGAGAAGTTACTGACTGTTATTTCATCAGTTATTTAAACTATACAATTCTTGGGAGACGTTCTAGTACTGACTGTTATTTCTCAGGTTATTTAACATTAAAATCAAATCCCTTAAGCTGCCTTCTTATGAAGTGTATCATATCACTTGATTTGCTAATGTCAATTGTGAGTTGATACAATTGCTGCATCCTGATTTGACCATGTGACTCTGAGAGAGTCCGTAGTGAACTAGGTACCGCTAACTTGTAGCTTGTGTACATGAGCTTATAGTCTGTGTTCTCTACCAACTTAGAGTATTTCATTTTTTTGCTTTTCCGCTCTTTCAGGTTATGTTCTCTGTTAGCCTGTTAGGTAGATTCTTTAGAATTAACAAGATGTTGATTTGCAGTTTAATTCTCACTTTCTCAGTAGTTCTGGTCCGTTGGCGCAGGTTTACATGTCACTCTAATGATGTTCACTGGCTATCTGGTGGGATATTATGCATTCAGGGCATTATTTAGTCACAGTCCAGCAATGGTAAGTTCTTGTGTTGAATTAGTCATGACTTCATTTGATACAGGCTCTATATGTGGGAGCAACCAAAGTCTTCATTCTGTTTTTGTCTTTTACTCTGGTCCTATCTATTGAAGTTTAATTGCTATTTCTCTTACTCTTTTTTCAGAGTGCTGCCGGAGGCATTCTTGGATTGGTTGGTGGCATGCTTGTTGAGACACTTCTCTTTATTATTAGAACTTCGAGTCAAGATAGAAAACCTACTAAAAAATCCACTTCTTTCACTTCGAAGCAGAAAAAGAATCAGTAGGCTTCATCACAAGAAGTTGTTCCTTTCTAACTTTCTGAGAGGAGTAAATCTTTCTTTTCTTTTCTTGATAGTTTATTTATTTCTCCGCATGACTTTTTATGTTGTAAAAATCAGAGTGACAAGCCATGCCCATAAAGTATTCTTCCCCCTTCCTCTTTAAGTCATGTTGAATTGTTTCTGCTCTTACAAGCTGCGTATCTTAAAAATACACAGGAGTACTTATTGACCCAAAGGATGATAAAAGCATCTATTTCAGTTACGAAAACTGTAGTACCCTTGCCGTCTAATGATGGTGGACAAGTTTAAAGTATGAGAGTTAACTATTCAATTTTAATAGTATTAAATTGTGTATCAACTCCTTTTCAGCGAAAAATTATGTATTTAAGTTTAAATTTCTTATAATCAGAATTACTTGAGATGTTTGGAAAATTCACCAACAAAGGTAGAATTATTTGATTATTCAAATAATATTAGTGTTATATGAAGTAGGATACAGTTATTAGTAAGTATGTTTTAGGAGGTAACCACAAAAGAGGCGAATTTCCTGGGATACTTGCATTCGAGCCAATAACTTTTGGGTGCGAGTAGAGGTGACAAAATGGTTAAAAGAAAATAGTTATCCACCCATATTATCCATCAAAAAATGAGTTGGATAATGAACCATTTATAAAAGGGTTGAATATGAATAAAGAACCATATTATCCACTTAGAAAATGGCTAACCAAACGGATAACCAATGGAAAACTAATGTATTTAACTTTTACATTTGTAAAGCCTCAAATTGAAGTTACTCAAGTTTGGAAGACTAGGAATTCTCTCATAAGTGATCATATTTAAGAAGCCATGGATAATATCCATATCCATATTATCCGCCGGATAAACCCGTTTTTATCCGTCTCAAATACGGGTTTGGTCGGATAATTTTTCCGTTTTTTTAAATTATCCGTTTTAACCTGCTCATATCTAACCCGACCCGACCCGCCCGTTTGCCACCCCTAATTGTGAGAGTATAATATCTCCTAACACCCTCACCATTGTCATCTGTTGCTGCTAAACAATCAGCTGTTCCTTAATTTCCTTCTAAAAGGAAATGAACAAGAGGTGAGGTGACCAATTAGGAAGATGCAGAATGTTACAGAAGCCAATGTTTCCAAATACTCCAACTAAATGAGAAAGAGAGCGCTCAGAAGTTGGTTCAAAGACTATCACAAGAAAAGAGTATCCCTCTGCACAAAGACCATTTCATCTAAGGCTCCCTTGTTGGATTGTTGTGTCGACGAATCTACAAAATAAAAGAGTATCTTGGTGCACTGGCTGAAGCACTTGTCCTTGTACCTTGCGAAAGAGTATAATCTTGTAATGACCCAATTGATCGTTTTGAGCATTCGTATTTCGTTCTGTGGTTTGAGGTCTAGAGTAGCTTCATATGATATATTATGACTTGTGTGTATGATTGGTTTCAATATTCGAGAAGTTGGGGATTGATTTAGAAGAGAAATTTTCACTTTTGAAGGCTTAACGTTGAAGAGTTGACCAATGGTTGACTTTTGTGTAAACGGTCCCAGATTCGCGTTCTGATGGTTCTAATAGGTTCGTATGGTGATTTTGGACTTAGGCATATGCACGGATTCGTATTTGGATATTTCTAGAAGGTTTTTGGCTCTATTTGGCAAAAATTGAAAATTTGAAGGTTTGGAAAGCTCATACGTTTAACCGGGAGTTGACTTCGATGTTATCGAGCTGGGATTGTTGTTCCGGGAGTTTGAATAGGTTTGTTATGTCATTTGGGACTTGTGTGCAATATTTGGGTTCATTCCGGATTGGTTAGACTTGAATCAAACGTTTGATTTGAAGTTGGAATTTTATAAAATTAAAAGAGTGACCTTGATCGACGATTCTTGGTTTTGATATTATTCGTGGTATTTTGAACCCTTGGATAAGTTTGTATTAGGTATTGAAACGTGTTGGATGGACTGGACGGGGTCCCATGGGGTTCAGGTGTTATTCGGGAAGGTGTTTCACACCATCTCTGGTTGTGTTGTATTGCTGTTTTTTCTGGTGTATCTGTTGAGCATCGTGTTCGCGGTTAAGCTTCCGCGTTTGCGGAGAGGAAACATGGCAGGCATAAATTTGTGAATCGCGTTCGCGATTTGGAGACCGAGTTCGCGGAGTGATGGAAGAGGTCGGGAAGCAGGCTAGCGTATTCGCAATTGGTTCTCGTATTCGTGATGAGGTGAGACCAGACGACCTTCACGTCCGTAGGTTATAGCTAGGTCGCGTTCGCAAAGAGATTTTTTGGAGGCATGGTTAATTTGGCTTACGCGAACGCTTGAAGTCAGCCGCGATCGCGAAGGGTACTCCTGGAGTAGTTGTATTAGATTCTATTTTCGAACTTGGAACTCATTTTACCATATTATGAAATTGGGAGCTCGGGTTGAGGTGATTCATGAAGCAATTTTCACCCACTTGGATTGGGTATGTATTTTTTACTCGAATGTGATTATTATACATGATTCCGTCTTTGGTTTTGGCATTTTATTGATGAATTTAAAAGAGAAATTGGGGGTTTTTGTCAAAACTTTTCTAAAGTGAATAACTGGGTTTTGAACATCTTCGGAGTCGGATTTGGCTGAAACTTGTATGATTGGACTCATATTCGAATGGGTATTGGAGATTTGTTAGTTTTGTCGGGTCCTGGGGTACGGGCCTCGGTTGACTGTTTTGTTGACTTTGAGTATTTGGTTAAAGATTCGATCTTTATCATTTGGGTTTGATTCGTATGCCATCATTTGTTGTTTCTGAGTTGCTTTTGGCTAGATTCGAGCAGTTCGGAGGTCGATTCGCGGGGGAAGGCATTTTTAGAGTATTTATTGAGCTTGTTTGAGGTAAATATCTTAGCTAAACTTGGTTTAAGCACTAGTTGTCTGAGTTATTAGTGATAACTACGTGCTATGGGTGGTGCACATGTGAGGGGTTGTGTCCATGTGCGTGCACCGGGGTATTATCCATGCTTGGGATAGTGCTTAGGCTATGATATGACTTGAATTGATTGCTAAGTCTCATGATATTATGTTTTTGATGTTTGTACCCCTTTGTGAGCAACTTGGATCATGTTAGAGGTTACATATAGGTTTATCTCCTGATTGAACATGATAACTGCTATTTTGTGATGAAATTGCCTAGTTTGAGCTATGGTAGTATACTTCGCACAAGCATACACCTTAGCATGTCATTTATATCAATCCATGAGTATGTAATTGGATATTCATTGTTCATGTATATGTATTCTTGTATATATGCTTTTTGTGTCATATGGACTGGACATACAGCACGTGAGTGGTCCATGCGGATCCGAGTTAGTATAGCACGTGAATTGTCCATGCGATTATTATGACAACACATGAGTTGTCCATGCAAATGTTATTAATGGCACGTGAGTTATCCGTGCGGTTATTATTATTTGCACGTGACTTGTTCGTGCAGTTGTTATTATTGGTATGTAAGTTCCGTGCAACACGTGAGTTGTCCGTGCAGTGTGTGGATAAGGATCCATCCCCCTAGGGTCACCCTCTCATATTTCTCTCTTGATGATGTACACACAGGTTGTGAGAAACCGACTTATTTCTGGTTGTTGTGAATTTTGGTAAAGTTGATCATTGGTTGGACCTTGCTTCGCTTATCTATTTGCAAACTCCTTGGATGTATACATAATATTTCTGTATATCTTCTCTATATGCTATAGCTCTAGAATGTATATATGCCTTTATGCATTTCTTCCCTATATGCTACCTTACTTGATGAGATAAGACACTGTACATATCTTATCTTTTAATCACACATATCTTCTCTATATTCACTTGTTAAAGGATTAGTTATTATTTCACGAATATCTTCTCTATATGCAATTGTGGAAGGATTATTAGATACTTTATGCATATCTTCTCTATATGCAAGTTTGATGATTTAATGATATTGGGCACATATTTAGCACATTATCTCTTTGTGCACCTATGTAGTTTTATCTGTATTATATGACTGGATTGCACCATTGCAGTGAACTCGTGAAATTCAGGAATTAAACATGTTATTAGCGAGTATCATTAATAATTCTTGCCACTACTACTATCACACCCCAACCCCGGGAGGTGCGACCGGCATGCGACGCCTAAGGGCTCGTGCGAGCCGACGTTCATGCTTACACCTATTTAATCATGACCTAGGCCAATGAGGCGTCCAAGTAGTAATACTGGAAACTTAAAATGTATAGAGCTGACTGAGAAAGAAACATTAAATACATACAACTTCACAAGTGTTATCAACATGGTCATAACCTGGCCTTACATACAAGCAAACACTAGTCTGCAAGCCTTTAAGGGTTCCAATAGAATACATATATACACAACTTGGTCGGGACATGGCCCAACAGTACCCAAAATATTTAGAACATATGCTTCAGTACCTATTGACTTCTGAATAGCTACTCCAAAGGAGTGGAGTGCAGCGATCAATTAGCTAGAACGGACACCCTATTGGAGAGGGACGTCGCCAGGTCTAACTGTATCTGTGGGCATGAATACAACACCCCAAGAAAAAAGCG